GCATTACTGATGGCCAGTTTTCTACTTACATTTTCAATGACTCTAAGCTTACTTTTCCTACTTGCATTTTCAATGAATCTAAGCTCACTTTGACTTTACAATTTCAACAAATCTCCAGTTTTTAGTAAAAACAATCCAGACAAAATTAATGGTTTGGATAAGAAAGAAAAAAGACTCCAAAGAAAACACAGCTCTGAAATCTCATCCTCTAATAACTCTACAGGGATAAGACAGAACTCGCCTCACTGCTGGAAAGAGAACTTAGTGCAAATAAAACACCTCGTTCACAAATTGCATCCACGTGTTAGGTTAGACCAGCAAGCCACTGTAACATCCTGCTTTACAGGTTAGATTGAAAAAGTACCTAAAGGATTCCTCTTCATGAGTAAATCCTCAACACAATCTGCTTCAGCTGCAAACATGCTCAACTAGTCTGTAGCTCTAGGCAATTCTGTCTTTCTCACAGGTATCAAGCATATTAGGAAGGGGCTCTCTGGGAAAAAAAAAAAGTTACCAATTTTATTTTAAAACTCACAACTATCAAAAACGGAATATAATTACTACTCTTTTTAAAAGGTAACAACACTTTATATTTAAGATCACAAAGATGACAAAACCAATACTTAAGTAACAGAAGGTAATCATTTGCATTTCAAAATTCATCTCTCTTGCTTTTCCCTCAATTAGACCAAAACACGTTGATTCACAGGTTTGTGTGCGCGTTTGTTTCTTTTTTAAACTTATTTACAGCGCAGAATAATGGCCCCCCTGCTAGGCTGGCATTTGCTCAAGTTTCTGTCCCTGTAAATTGAATCTGTTACTGGAATTTTCCCCCTTCAGAATGCCTAGGCACATTAACCAAGAGATAAAGAGATACACGCTGCTGATACTATCAGCCACCGGGTAGGTGGATAATGTGAGGGATTTTCTGTTAGTTTTTCTGGGTGGTTTTTTTTTTTTTTTTTTGAACAAATACATGATAAGAGTTCTCAGGGGGCGCAGAGAGCAAAGGGCTGTTTAAACAGAAGTGAATCATTCTCATCTGATCTGCTAATAACTTTGTATTCAGACATCAGCACACTTTAAAACATTCAGAAAACAAAAGTACTTAAAAGAGAGGAAGGGGAAAAGAAAAAAGAAAAAAAAAAAAAAGCCAACCAAAAAAACCCAGGTGGATCTCACATCTGTCACCTTAACCTCGAGTGCAGCAGAACAGCTCACTTCTGAGCACCTAATTTCTTCTTTAAAAGCAAATGCGTTATTTTTGGCCAACTCCCCCTCAGATTTACTTGAAGCGGTGCTGAGTTTACAGGGATGATTTATAAGCCATCATTTCCCTCGTGGGTTAGAGAAACAACATCTGACTTATCATAGGTGAACAGCGAAGCTTTAGTTTGGCCATCCATCAAAGCAGAGCGCGGGCGCTACTTCCAGGCATCTGCAGATAGCCCCGTTGTCCCGGAGCGGCTCCGGCCCCAGCTCTTAGACTGAGTACAACCACGCAGCGGCGAGCCTTGTGCCGTCGCACAACAGCAGCGCAACGCAGCCCGGCTCTGAGCTCCAAGTGCAACTCCGGAGGTGCGAGTCGCTGCAATGAAACCTCGCCTTCGGCCTGCAGCGCCGTCCTCCAATGGCACAATGCCACCTGCCGCCCCCGGAGGAGAAGTGCAACTTCTCGCAAGACAGCCGGCCCCGCTTGTAATTTATGCACGATGAAAACTGACAATTGCTCTTGCAAACAAAATTAAGTACACTGGCAGCAGGAAATGGAGTGCGGCTATTTAAACTATTTCTTCTCCCATCCTTCTGACACTTCTACGCTTACAGTGTTTGCATTTGTTCTGTTAATTTATACCTACGTCGCATAATCTCTTTTATACACACGCCGTTAACAATTCCTCTCTGCTTTTCATAGGATAACAAGAGCTGAGCGAGCCCCGGCTACTCGCCGCAGAAAGGCTCTGGCCGCTGCCTCTGAACCAGGAGCCCTTCATTGGCTTTAGCAGAGCCCCATCCTCGAGGACCGAAAACCTCCACCACCACCTGCAGACCCATGCAGGGGCACTTCTCTCCTCAAGTCTGAAGAGCTTCAGCATTAATACATATATCCTGACTCCCTCCAGAAACTAGATTCTGACATAGAAGTTGTAGGATTTAAGTTCCACATTTTCCTTCAACCAATAAAGCAACTTAAAACCTAAATATGCCCTCAGGAACTTTGCTGCTCAGTATTATTTACATATCATGTAAAAGAGTAACTCCTGAAACCTTAGCAATTAAAATGATTTCAGACACACTTTTGTGCCTTTCACATAACTCTGCAACACAACTTCTTACCTTTTTTAAACTGAAGATACCACGTAATCTATTTAACTTCCACGTTCTTTTTTTTTTTTTTTTTTTCCTGCCTGTGAAATTTGTTTCTCAACAATTATTGCAGAAAAACAACTGCGTCTCAAAAAGGATCATCATCTGTACTCAGTCTGTAACACCAGACCCTAAAGGACAACGTTTTATCAAAGAGGTCTTCCCTTCCTTGCCTGCTTTTAATGAGACCATTTAAATAACAAAACGTCAAAAGTCTGTTAAATACAGGCTTTCCACACCCAAATCCTACTATCCCGAATTCAGATGAAAACAGACACCAAACTAAACACACAAAGGTAAAATTTTCCAAGCTGAGTTTCACTTGGTTAGAGGTGAAATGAGATGTCAGGTACCCGGAGGCACAGCACCACAGCCCACCGAGCTGCTCGATGCATCAAAACGAGTTGGAGATTCACTTGGAGTTATTTCATTATTCACCGTGTCGCAGTGATGATATAAATCATAGGGCCTGGCTAAGTTTTGTGAAGATCACTTGTTCATCTGTTCCTTCAGCAGGAAAAAGCAAGCTATGAGAAACATTCACAAACAATTCGAAAGAGCAACTGAAGAAGAATAGTATAAAATCCAATTTTCTCAATTTACCTAAGCACTCTGAACTGAGGCACAACTAACTTCAAAGTGGTTAACCCAAGAAGCAGCTTAGGGGCAATGCTGCCATGATCAGGAGGAGACGTGGGTTCCAAGTCATAGGACATTTCCTAAAAGGAAAAATGACCATCCACGTAAGGCTTATTTTCCTGTAACGTAGCAGTGGTGCTGAAGAAAGCCCACTAAGGGGAGCTTTTTTAATTACAGTTGGATGTTTTGCAGCAGCCATAAGAAAGCTACTTTCACCTCAGTTGCACACATTACCTAAGAGCACATACTAAACCTTAACTCAGAATAGAAGGTGTACACAGGTAACAATAAGATCAAATGTGAAAAGCTAACATGGCAATATCAATCCTGCCATCCTGCATCTATCTAACACTTGCACTTGCAGATCTTTGTCTTGCAGCTCACCAGTTACACATGGAACAAAACCAAAAAATCCAGATGGATACCACACCTGTGCTGGGACATGGAAATAAAGATGGCACAGAAAACTTTATTCTTGTATTTGGGGACTTCTAAATATTATTTTGCCTGCTTCCTGAACAATTAATTACAGCAGTTGGCTGGTTGAAGATCAGGGGGGCAAAAAAACCACCTCTCTTTGGATTCTCATTAAAATATGGAAAAATTAGGCTTTGACTTTTACAGATTATTAATGGTGACAAGGTGGGAATAGGCTGTGCTTCCATCTTAAAAGCAGCACAACTTTGTACAGGCCTGGGTTGTGGAGGCAGGAAAACATCTCTTTCTAATGCAACAGAGTGCATACTGGCAAGCAGAACATGTTTCTGTTCCACAGCCACAAGAATTGCTGGGGTTCTCAAATCAAGGGTTCCTCAGTTTCGCTGCTCTTGAACTAAAGTGGGGTGAGGGTAGAACAATAGTAATATCTATAATTCTATATATATAAAATCTATAATTCTGTAATATCTGCCCCTTCCCTTTTGACTTGCACCTGGAGAGCAAAAATTTTATTTACTGTTAATCTCAAGAGCTGGAATTCATTTTTTTGTTGCCATACAACCACCTGTATTCACAAAGAGCAGTTTCACACTGTATTTGAGTGGGGGGGAACCAAGTCACAGAACGAACACCTGCCAAACTAAGTTCACAACTTTTGCCTTGAGTCGTTCACTCAGCTTCAGCTAATTTTTTTCAAGCCCATCTGCACACTCAGCTTGAGGACTATCTGCACACCAAGTTGCAAAGCCTAGCCAGGCCACGCACTCAGCAGAAAGTGTACATTGGCATTTCAAATTCAGAACCAAAAGACGAACTGAAAATCTGAGTAGCATCACTGTAGTTACTTGAACTCTAAAAGCCGTTTCTTTAAGCTACCTATAAAATGTTTAAAATGCAAAGTTATAAGTAACGTATCTGATTATAATTGTCACTACCATTAGACAACTATAATAGCAGAAAATAAATTGGAAAGAGTAAAAGAGGGAGGGATCTGTTTCAAGTGCCATCCTTGCTACAAAAACCCAAGAGATATTGATTTTATCACCCTCGTGATTGATGAAAGCAGTTCTAAGAAAAGAGCTCTCTAAACTATTTCAAAGCCCACTGTAGCTCATCAAAAATGTCAGAGGCATCTCTGAGCCTATTAGGGTTGTGTGTTTCAAACTGCGATACGTTTTTTTTCTATGTTCTTTGCATGTATAAATTGTTGTGCTTTTAAAGCTCATGGTGTCATCTTTTCACTCTGCCCTTTCCCTGTTTGCTCATTCCAGTTATCAGGATGTATTCACACATAACAAACTACTGAAAGAACACACAACATTTTTAAAATTTCCTTAAACAAGGCATTCAATGCAATTACACTTTATGGAAACGCTCTAACAACAACACAGTCAACAATAAAGCAGTTACAAACTCTCTTGCTTTTTAAGATATTCAGGAAAAGAAAATGCTATTGATATTGCATGTTCTTGAGCTCTGTGTTACAAAGGCTCCGTGAGAAAATGAAAGCTGCTTATCTACTTTCCAAGTGAAACATTGTAGGTGATTGTTCTAACCTGGGGCACAGTACATTCTCTCTATGGCATCGCTGTCACAGGAATCTTCAACCTCCCTCCACCTGCTAAAATACGTTAGCTGAATGTGTCCTAAAAACAAAACGACAGGAGAAATCAAAACATTTTTCCCTTCCATTTTCTGCAGAAGTGAACTGTAATTACTCCTTTTGTAGCTAAAAACAGTATCATTAAGAATAATGGCATCATTAAGTACTAGAAGCTATTACTGGGGGTGAATTTGCTGCACTGATAATGAAGCTCTAGACAGGAAATGAAGATACTAATTACAAGATAAAACGCCTACTCAGTTAATTGGAAGCAACAGCGAATAAAAAGAAATGCATTTGCAAAAGTTCCTGACCTCTATCATTCAATAAGATGTTGTTTGGGTTCAAATCGCGGCACACAATTCCTTCTCTATGTAAAGCATCAAGGGCTACAACCATTTCAGCTGCCCATCTTTGAATGCAGTCCTCTGGGATATAAAACCTGGAGGTTATCGCTAATCTTTCATCAAGGTCCTGAAAAATTTGGTGTATATCCTTCTCCCCTGCTACTGCTACTTTGTCTTCCCTCTTTGGTGCTGTCTGTTCACTTTCAGCTGCTGGTAACAAAGACAGGTTTGTTTCCTCTTTCCCAAAGTCTTCAGTTTGATCAGAAAACAGCAACACTGCTTCGTTTCTTATCGTGTCTCTGTCCAAGCTAACATCTTGAGCACCTGAGAGCAGGTTGGAAACAAGCACACTTTCTTCTTTGCTTGTCACGTTTACGGAGCAGGCTGCAGGCCCCTGAAACAGAGCCCCATCTTCTGAACTACCTACCTCTGGTTCAGAAGTAAAAAGGGTCCCGAGAGCTCCCTGAGTGACACCTCTTTGTCCATTCACTTCCCTGGGGGAAGGATCACCCAGTTCTGGTGTCACACGATTTGGCTCTTGATTAAATGCTTTGCACTGCTCTGCAGAACTATTTAATTGTAAGACATCAGGTGTTTCTAGTAATTTTACTTCTAAAACATCCATATCAGTTTTTGTAAACTTGGCAGGCCTTGACACTGCTGCCTCCTCAGTTGTATCAGACATACCAGGTAAGTTTATCAGGAGATCAGGCCTTCCCTCATCAATACTACTCACATCATCGAATGCAGCATCCTTAAACGAGATAACTGGCACGGAGTCGTTTGAACCCCTGCTAACGGTGTCTTGAGCTCTCACACCCATTTTGTTCTCCAGGGCATCCAAGCTTCTGTCATGACCTGGCATAGAGAACAATGGCTTCAAAGGTTCTGATTTCAGGTTATACAATTTTTCTCCCAAATCCAGTCCCAGAAGCTCACTAGCACTATCTTTGCTGTCAATTCTGAAGAGTTCCATGGGGCTCTTCTTTGATTTGGTTAGTGAGTCCAATATTCTAGTAGGACTGGCTATTTCTGATTCACCATCATCAATGAAAAGCTTTAGCTCCTGAGATGGAACATGAGAGCTGAAACTATCACTGCTAACAACAGTGCACTTCTGTAAAGAACTTTTCTCTTTAATATTCAGACTTTGACTCTCCACTTTAACCATAGGCTCCTCATTGAGAGAGCCAGAATCAATTTTTTCTTGCCCATATTCATTACATAACGTTAAGTAACTCGTAGTGCACTCTTCTTCTGAGCTGGATGCTGAGTCCATCCATTTTGAACTCTCTTGTCCATCTTCCTGGTTGCTGCTGTCATCCTGAGAGCTCGGCGTCAGGCTGCTCCTCAGAGGGACCACCTTCAGCATGTTCTCCCCACAGCTTTCTCTGGAATCCGTGCTGCTACCAATGTCTTTAGGGCTGGGCGTCGGCCGCTCAAGAAGAATTTTAGTTGAACTGAATGTTTTGGTTTCGGGAATTTCAAAGCTCTGTTCAGGACTTGTGTTTAAGAATTTACTGACATATGACCACAGTTTTCCTCCTGCAAGAAAAGAAGAGATAGAAGTCTCTTAACATCACTCAGAACAGAATCAGTTTAATGGTGATATAGGAAAATGTCAATATTGACAGAACACACTATCTCCTTAAGCCAATAAAGCAAGTTGGATCTGCTTCCTCAGGAGGAAGTAATTACAGGGACCACAACTTGCTTTCAAGCGGATTTGTATTAATACATAAATATTTAAATAGCTGCATCTGAGATTAAGCTTTTTTTAAAAAATAAAAAAATAAAACCTTCAGTAAAGTCTCATTTCAGAGTCTGTCTCAAGTTGCATGGTGATGACTGCTCTCTCCATCTGCTGTCTCCAAAGAAAGCAAAAACTAGGAAAGATCAAATGGTTTAGGGGTAGCCATCACCAGTTCTGCCTGTTCTGAATCACAGCTTCAAGCTCATAAGCAACATCGGGGAACACGAGACTGAAAACTACTGATCAGCGAGTTCAGTGAGGGGAAGGGAAATACCTCATATTAGTAGGGTATTTTAAGGATATGTTTCTCTTTGAAGAAATTGATTTTTTTTTAGTGAAATACAGATGAATTTCTCCCTTAATGTCAGGCCTTAAGAAAATTCTTTATGCCTTACTGCACTAAGCAAACATTTTCAATATTTTAAGCTATATGGGCAAAACCCGTTTATTCATATCAAAAAAGTTTACTTATATCAAAAACTCTAAACAAAAAAAATACAGCTCCAAAAGTAATCATGAAATTAAAAAAAATACACTCTAAAACTCATTTTCTAAATACCACACATTTATAAGATTACAGTTTACAAACAGAAGTTGGAAAAAAAATGAATCAAGAAGTTACTGCTGCATCTCTTGCATGTGGCAAAGAATTTGTCTTTGAAAAGCTAGAGAGCCACCTTTACTAACTTAAGGAAAAATGCAAAGACAAGATATTTCAGTTTAAAAATTTTATAAAAATTCTAGAAACAGTTCAAACAATCTTTGTAGAAGAAAAGAATAAATATTCAGCCCGCTGGGCACCTGAAAAGTTTTTGGTGTGGTTTTTTTCTTTTTTTACTTCTTTGGGTAAAACAGAGATTTATATTATGTTTTGCCAAAATAGAGTCTTTAATGGTTATTTTTAAACACTCTCCTTATCAGGCAAAATTCCTTTAAAAAGAACAATGAAACAAGAAAGTATTTTTCACTGCCTAGGAGCAGGTTTTATATATTTCCAGGTATTTCAAAACTAAGTTATCAAAGGCAGAAAACCCTTGATACTTTAAAAATGAATTTGAATAATATAATGTGGAGTTTTCTTGCTCTTCATCCCCCTGGCTAAGACAAGACTTCTTTTTAAGGGAAAAAAAATATCTCAGTGGTTGTGGTGAAACTAAATATATAAAAAATACTAAGAGGGAATTCTAACAGCTTGAGTGTAGTTGTAAATATGACCATTTAAATTTATTAGTTCTGCCTACAAGCTACAAATTGATGTATTGGGTCAAAATGACTCTTGCCACTTTCTAAGGCAAGAAAGTATGTCAGGAACAAATGGAAGTGATGCTCATATAGAAGGGAACAAGACCTGCTGTATTCGCCGCTGTGTTACATAAGCATCTCAGATTCACCCAAAGATGTAGAATCACCGAATGAATCTTGAGTTGGAAGGGACCAACAAGGTCAGTGAATCCAACTCTGGGCTCCACACAGACCATCCAGTGTTCAAATCCCGTGCCTTGAAAGTGTTATTCAAATACTCCTCAAACTCCTGCAGCTTCATGCATTCCCTAGTGCCCTGTCTCTGTCACACAGAGCAGAGCTCAGCGCTGCCCTCTGCTCCCTGCGAGCCACCACGAGGCCTCCCCTCAGCTCCTCTGCCCTGGGCTGAGCAAACCCAGGGACCTCAGCCACTCCTCCTCATACCCCTTGTCCTCCAGACCTTTCACCACCTTCACAGATCTCTCTAATAGTTTTACACACTTCTTATACTGTAGTGCCCAAACCTGCATACAGTGCTCAAAGTGAGGCCATATCACGTCTTCAAATACCTACGTGTCATGCCACAACAGCCAGACAAGGTTCAGTGTTGTCTCCCAGCACAGCCAGAGAATCAACTCCTGCCAGTGTCACCAAGCAAGCTGCCTCCTGGGACAGCAATGTACTCCAAGCCTGCTTGGGTACAAGCAAAATAGCTGCATGCATTGGCAAGAGCCAAGCATCCCAGTCCTGTCAGCAGTACCACACAATCAGGACACTGTTTGTCCTTGTGTGAGGGTGGAGTCCACGTGCATCCTTAAGATGAAGAGACTTGCCTCTAATATGACAGCACTGCCGTGCCTTCTGAACACTGCAGTCTCCCTGAGCCTTCTGAATTGTTATTCTTAAAGCCTTTTGGTGCAAAAGAAAGGAGAAAACATTTTTATTTTGTCTGAAAGATTTTCTCCTCTTTTTCACACTTCCAACCAAGACAAAAGCAACAGCACAAAAGTTTAATTATACTAGAAGATTCTGATGGAACAGTATTTTTACAACAATTTTTTTATTCATTATTTCAATTAGATTATTTTAAGTAGACAGTCTTCACAAAATGATTTTTCCCTATGTATTAATTAGGCAAGGAATTACTAAGGGTCTTTTCATACTGAACAATAAAATCTCATTTGAAACTACCCTCCTGCATTATATTCATTAATACAAGCAAATACGATTTCCATCTTCATATTACTAGTATTTATTATCCCAGTACTTTTTGTAAGAAAGCACAAATCTCAGCTTTCAGAAGGTGCTCAGAGAATATGACTGACGAAGACTCACTTTGCATTTTCACAGCATTGCACAGTGCCTGGCGCAACGGCATCTCAGCTTCCAGGAATGGCTTTAAATACAGATATTGTCATGATCAGTTCTTTGTCTATACAAAAATCATTTTTTAATAGAGGTCTGGGTTGAGCTTAGACCCAGGGATTCAGAAAGCTCAATACATTGTTGCTATGGTCTATAGTCACATTCTTTTCCTGCATCGTTACTGGACACCAGGTATGCTTTTGCATGTCACATCTGAAGGTCTCTCACCAAACTAAACACTTCATATCCTATGCTAAGACAGAAAGGAGCTGGACTGTCTGGCAGCATGAAAAGTGAAAGAATTCTCCTCAGCGCTATCTCATTTTTCAAGCACATGCCAAGCTCTTGGTGCAGTTCTTGTCTTCTGCTCCCTCCACCTCACTTAATGCAAGATTTCATTCAGTCTCCACTACATCTTGGCCTCTGCTCAAAGTCTTAGTACAGCTTAAGAAAGGAATCAACTCAAGAAGGATTAAGGAAGGAAAACAGATATGTTGACATCAGCCCTTCAAAATCTAACAGAAAGCTCAATGGAAGAGTCAAAAAGTTCAAAGTGTTTTTTTAAAAATATTTCATTTCGAATACTTTCAGCAAGAATAGGTTTTGCACAAGACAAAAAATATTCTCTATCATTATAGCTTTAAGAAATTCACAACTGTCTACCTGTGAAAAGAGAACTACGACTCATTTTCCATTAGTGAACATGTTATTATCTTACCTTCTTAAGAAAGAAGTTGCTTATTAATAATCACTTGGACTGAGAAATCATAGTGGAAATAACTACTTCCTCCAACTCCAATTTGTAGTTAAATGCAAGTAAATATAAAAAAAAATAAAAATGTTATGTCCAAATATGTTTACACACAAATATTTCAAGACTGGCCTCCTGGTCAAATGGAACTATGTAAATAAATGCTATTCAATAATTGTGTTCTATATGAAAAACAACAATTTCATTCCTTTTTGAAAATGTCCAATCCAGGGTCAAACAAGAGTGATATTTGTATCTGGGTATATAATTATGCCTTTATGAATGACATACTAATAATCTTTCCCCCTCTCCCCATGTGTTGTGTAAGATCAAGAAAACCCATTAGCAAGCCATGCTAATATAGTATCAGGAATCTATAAAAACTAAAATTACAGAAATCAATCCAAACAAGAAAGCTTTGGTCACTGTCAAATAGTCTAATATACTAAATAACTGTAAAAGCTATGATTTTAAGCTAAAGTTTATTAGTATTTAATACGATTTCATAAGTACAGTATTGACATCATTAAGACTTTTTTGTGTTTTTTTTTTTAAACCATAAATAGACACTATAACCAGTCTAGCTCATTCTTTCTAGTTTTACTAGCACACAAAAATCAAAGCTCCTTCTGCAGGTATTAAATATAAAATTACTTGTCAGAAGTGCCTTGTTTCACCATATTTTCAATACTCTGAAGGTAATATTTGTGCTTCAAGAGGTGGAATTGAAGAAGTTAGTGTTAAAAAAAAAGAACAATAGAATTTCAACACAAAGTGATCAAGTGATGAAGCTGGATAGGAATACTGTTAGTTCCACATTTTTTTTTAATATTCTATCAAACACTTCTACAGGTTTTGTTATTAATAGGACTTTGAAGCAGGCACATCAAACAGAAGATACAGAGACTATACTGTACACACCACAAGATAAAAGGAAACCTAACAGATCAGCAAATTTATTCTCCTAACCATGTTTTTGCTCTAGCTGACATGAAAAAAATCATAACCTGATGGTCTTTTCCTCAGCAGGTACTCGGTCACTTACTATTTCAGTTCCACAGCCTGAAAGACTGCCTAAGTGGATGTAATTCAAAAGATTTCATTGGCTTTTGCTAACTTAGCCCATGAGTTTGCACTGAAGGACAATACTGTACATCAATTTCTACAAAACCAGAATGCATTTTCGAGTGTGGTAATCATTGTATTTAGGAAAGTCTACAAAAAGTGAAAGTGAACAGCCTGAGCCCTCAAATAATTGTGATTAAAAAAAAAAAAATTAAAAAAAATTTTTAAAAAAGCACTGTCAGACATCTTTTTGAACAATTCTGCAAAATCGGGCTAAATTCTCTACTTCACTGCATAAAAATTTGTTTACGGCCAGGACTGCCATTCACAAGTTATGTACTTCATGTGAAATAATATTCCAGGAAAAAGAACAACTTTAGAATCTTTTTTCTTAGAATTACTGTCCTTCTTTTCAGTAAAGACATGGCTGCAGCTAAACTTCATCATGTTAATATACAATGACAACATAATTATCTTTGCATAGTTTCTAGACCAAAAGGGAGCCAGACATGCAGACACTATCATGATAAAATAACAATATTTCACAGCAGTCACAATAGCATTGCAGCATACACAGGAACTGGAAGCTAATCTCAACCTAATCTCTAACACGACAATAGTTACAAACTCCAGAGCCTCATACACACAACTGCTTCCACTGCTGCTGGTGAATCTCTGCTACGAAGTTTGCTAGTTTAGGCAAAGCTCCCACTTCCCAAAGCACTTCAAGCAAAAGCTATTATTTCAAAGCAGCCTTCTGAAAAAGTCCCTTGCCAATGACTACATCACCTTTCCTACCCTTTCTGATCTCTGCCAAGTCCTTACAGCTAGAACTGTCTCCTTTCCTAACAACAAATCCAAGCTTTGCAAACCAAAATGCTACCACCCTGTTGTCTACCAATTCCTGCATGCAGCAAGCCTCTTCAGTGTGAAGTTTCTTGAGTGCTCTCCAGATTGATAGGAACTCCACCTTATTTATGCTTAAAGAGATTTGACAGCTTCTAACAGCCACTTAAACTTTGATGTCCCATGGAAGCCCCCCAGCCTATTTTTGAAGCATCTGTTTCTAAAATTTCTGCAGTTCTTAGTGCCAAGAAGAAGCGAGGCCTTGTTAATATCAAATTGGCTCTCTACCACAATAGAACTTGCCAAGTGCCTTCCAACAAAGCTACAAGATAACTTTGCTGACTTTTGTGATTCCAAGGCCCTCTTCAAGCCTCTGACTGCAGTTATGAGAAAAGCCTGTTAGAGGACCCAAGAGCTCACTCACCAATCTGAGTGTGTAACAGCATTATGACTTACTGAAAAAAAAAAAGTCTTCATCTGGAGCAAGAGTTTGGGGTCGAGCTTTCAGAATTCCATACAAAAACCAACAGTGCTGAACTTACTAATGCAGTTAAGGTGTAAGAGCTAGCAAGCTCCTTACCAAATATATAATATCTAACATAACATTTAAACACCCTCTGAATTAGCTGTAATTCAAGCCATCGCCCACTTAAATTAATATTTTACCTGTGAACCACTCAGTGATACTGATAGCATGGCTGACATGAAAGATCACCACAAAACAATATACTTATAAATTAGACAGGCAGTATTTTCCATTGGAACAGAACTACTAAGTATGAATGTAAAGAACATTCACAAAGTGATGGAATAAAGTTTCAGAGATTATCACTTTAAAAGCATTGTCCTAGAAATCTTCATACTTTTTCAAACTTACCTACAAGCACATTTTCTATTTATATTTGGTGTGAGATGGACAAAAAATTTTAAGAGAATATCTTTAGATATTCCTAGTGTTTTTATCCCTGTTTAAAGGATGAGTTCTACTAACAAAGGACTGATGTGTTCGAGACAATCATCAGTGGGTTATTTTTTTTTCCATGTTTTCTCCAGTGCTAGGAAAATCTACAAGACAACTTCAGCATTTCTGCTGAATTGCTTTCCAGCACCGGTCTCCTGGGACATGGTGAAGTACACAGGTCATGCAGTTCCAAAGCAACACAAAATTATTGCTCAATAGGGATTTGGGATCAGGGCCTACACCTGCAATATAATTTTTGTACGTGTTCTTGAGCAATTTACTCATCGATTTTTGCCCCAGTTCTCCCTCTTTAGAACAGAAAACACCACTTATCTTCCTCTCCCCCTTCGTATGTTCAGAGGCCAGTCAATAATTTCATGAATGCAGGGGACTATCCCTAAAGACATTAACCTTGATAATTCCCTGGTCATTAGGAAAAAATACTTACAGCAGTGGGAAAAAAACAGAGGTGAATCCATTTCCAAACAACTTGTTTTTTCAGAAAATGAGGGGAAACTCCTTGCAGTTTATTAGCTTATATTCGAAAGCACCGTCAGTAGCAGCCCTAACCCACATGAAATCCCTTTCTGCCAGCTCACCCAGCCCTCCCCAGTACAGTCTGACAGTCCTGTATCCCTGTAATGCTCCCCGGTTCTTCCCATGTCCCCTTCTCACTGTTCCCCCTTCAGAACTCTCTTCAGAAAGTACTCCTATCTCACCATCTCACCTGCACACTCTCTCCCAGCTCCACCCCAAAATAATTTCTCTCTCTCCTATATTCCCTGTTTGCATGCATGACCCACAGCCAGAGAAAGGCATATGAGCTCTGGCTGCTTCCAAGTATTTGTTTGCTGACTGCCCAGGCAAAATGACAATGCCTGACAGACTCCACCTTCACCGCTGGCAAACCAAGCAGATATCACAGGGTGCCACACAAGACTCTAAGCTGCACAAATAGGATTTAGCAGGCATTTGGTAAATTAAAGATCTTCTCACCACAGAACTCTAAACTTTTGTTACAGACAGCGTTGGTAAGAGCAACACATTCAGGCCAAGAACATTTCTCATGATCAGGTCAAAGATGACTAGAAGAGAGTTACTCTTTTTTAACGAATATACTCCATATACTCCGTCCAAGCATTAAGCTGAGGCTTCTGCTCTTAAATGGAAGAGCTCTGATCATACAACATCTCCATTTTTATCACTGTCATCACACAAAAAAAATTATCACTTTGGGGAGATTATCTTTGTCAACCAATCAAATTAAATTAAGCCTGCCTTTACATTTTTGTTCTCTCCATGTGATCACTACTCCCCCAAATTCCTCTGGTAATACATCCGGTTTTCCATCTGTCTTGTGAAGGGACATTCCCAGGAGAGCAGGTCTTCAAATAGAGAAGAACTATTAGAAACAGTTACATTATTACTGTATCTGGTCTCTAATTCTTTCATTCTGCTAGCCTTAAGGTCAGCTGGTATCTGCCTAGGCTTTGTTGTGCTTTGTTGTTGTTTGAATAGCTACTACTTCTCAAACTGCACATGTTTGAGCTTACATGTAAATTACAGTTCAGATGATGGCTCCTAAATTATTTGGCTGAATCATACAGACCTCAAAAAAGTAGCACTGTACAGAGTCCCAGCATCACCACCAGTACAATAGTGTGAGGTCTTTCTTCATGCAACACTCGTAGCGACAAAATCTTGTCACACATAGCTTAAAAAGTTATTCATGTTTTAAAGCCAACTTTAGCTGGCCTCATGTGACATAAATTGCTCATAAAAATGCTAAAATCTAAGTTATTAGGAGTAAAAACAATAATATTCAATGCAATAAAATTATCTTCTCTCTGCTACATAGCTCCTTCAAGTCATTGTGTCTAAATTGTTAACATTTCCTAAAAAGAGAACTATTAGCAAACCCAAAATTTATATTCTGCACTCATTCTAAATAAATGTGGGCAATTACATTTGAGGAATATTTAAATCCAGGTGTTAGAGGAAAAAAATCAAGATGTAATTATTTTTTGCCACCTGTTCCCCGTACATTTAACAGGAATTTCATAAATAGTTTGAAGGCACTGCTCTGTGGTTCTGCTTTGAACTCCTATGTGATGCCACTAGCTATTTTCTTAAAAATCCAGATCAGAGTAACTATGTAATATTAACTACTAGGCAAATATTTATGGCTTTTTAGCAGACAGTTATTCAACTCTTAGGGGAATGCTTGTCACTTAACCACAAATGTACTTGCCAAAGTTTACAAAAGTAGCCAAAGACTTAGTTTCTTAAAGATGACTGTAAATACTACAGATACTTGTTGCAGTTAAAAGCACTTGCTCTCTGGTAGAAATTAATTGTTGGACACTTTCAATAATGCTACAGTGCAACAGACCGATCAGGATTAGAGGCTGTTTGAAAAAGGAATCAGATCTACCAGAGAATGAAGGGAAAGAAGAGGAGGGAGGATGTGAGATGTCTTACATGACATCTCTAAGGCACGGAAAAATATTTTAATTAGATATACATAAGAGATTGATTTGACACTGAAATGTATGATTGATTAAAACCTACACCTCTGACTTTTTCAGCAATATACTTAAATGAGAGACAAACCTTCTGCATGCTGTAATATGAGAAAGACAGACTCCTCGGAGATGATGTACTTGTGCAGGCACACCATGTTGGGCACACAGCGGGGGATGATGGTCGTTCTGCTCCTGCTGTACTCACTACTTTTCCTTAGACCCTGACAGAGAACAAAAAGGTCAGTTGTACCCTCAGTTGCCTTTGGAGCCTGCTGTGCTCTGTGTTTATCAACCAAACTAATCTATCCGAGTTACTCTGGGCTTCAGAGAAACCACTCATCTGCTGCTCTATGCCCCTCGGTCCCCCGAGGCTGTGCTGATGGCATCTGGCACATTTCCAGAGAACAGAAGATGGCACAAAGCTGCCATTAAAATCAATTACATGGGTCAATGTTTTTATTAGAATCTCTCTCAAACTAAGTCATCAGGATGACACTCAGTTATTTCCCTGTGACCTTTTTTTAAAAATTTATTTTTGTGCATGACCAAAAGACACTATTAAAAAATTCAATTCAAGTTCTAAAGACAAAAGAATGCCCTAGCCTTACAGGTAATCCTCACATTTCCATTGTACTTTAGTAAAGACAACCGCAGTAACCACAACAAAAAGGAAAGGAAAGGATTAATCTCCTTGAGAGGTAATGATTTTTGGGAGGTAGCACAGAGATGAAGTTGCCAGAAGTGAAAAAATTGATGTGAGAGGGAGAAAGGGAGGGAATAGGGAAAGGAAAAAAAAATTATGTCAATAATGTGACCTATTACAGTATTGATAAACATAAGCAGTGAAATGGGAAATTCAATGTTTCCCTATCTGCCAGCAGATACAGTGAGGTTCTAATATACAATATTCACAACTAACATTTTCTGAGGAACAAAAAAGGTTTTCTGTACCCTGCATAAACTTAAGACGACTCACTTCAATAACCAAATGCACTAAGTTAAGATAGGGTCGTAAACCAGTCCTGAAGCCACATTATAAAATGTTAGCTAATTAAGCTCCATGTCTGGGACATCCTTTTTCAGCCCTTCCTCCCATCATTCATGTCATTAATTTCAATGGGAGTCTGAAATAATAGCCACAAAGACAAGACTCAGACTAAATCAACTCTCAGCAACACAGATGCTTGAAGTATGTTGGGATCTTCATCTGAGCACTTTCTGAAACACAAAAGACTAATATAAAAAAAATATCCTCAACCTTTAACTATTTGGCAGTTCAATGGCTTAGTAACATTAAATTCAGTTTTCAGAGTCTATTGATGTAAACCATAAAACAGCAATTTTGGATAAGACCGGTCATCCACTTCATCCAGAATCCCCTTTGGTCAATACAATACTCTTCAACTAAGGGCAACCAACCATGACGATGAGCTGTGGGTATACTTGAGCTAAGGAGAATTTTCATCTTAACTTCCTTAATCAGAAGCACACATATGGCTTGAGTCAGCAGAGTCTGATGGCTCTTTTACAAAGCATGTTGAAACAGTGATTCTTTACCAAAGCCCACTGAAGTATTAACATCAATAACAAGTAGCAAATCAAGTGAGTAAACCAGCACATATGAGAAGTTACACAGAGAAAGGAACGGAAAAGATCGAATACTGAGAAAAATGATTCCAGTGCACTTAATATGGATATATATAACTTGGCACATTAGATGCAAAGTGATCTTGTGTGGTTGTATAAACTAGGAAGCCAGTCTGTTCAGAGAAGTAAGAAGACTTTACTTACCTTCAGTATAAAAGTCTGCTGTGTTCTAGTGTCCATTACAAGTAAAACCTAAGCAAAAAGTGTTCAGAGAAACATGTAAAATTCACATGAGTAAGATGACAATACTCGATTCTCAAACTTAATATTGAAATATTCTTGCAAACAAAGTGAAATATGTCACGATGAAAACAAAAATTAAAGCCCTGTAACACACATTTGTTAAACAACTTTTTTTTTTAAAGAAATAAATTTGATTGAGAATTGGATCTCTAGAGAGCTACTAGAATGTTGCCTGATTCCCAATCAGCTAATTTAAAGAACAAACCTTAAAAAGAAAACCACTACTTTATAACTGTAGAAATAATTTAGCAGAATACAAATTACAGAAATGCAATTGCAACAACAAAATAAAACACACAAATAATGTCCACATTGCACTAGCCTCCTATGTTACATCACTTGTATTATTTTCTTTTCTCCTAATACACTGCACCTACCTTCTTACTACAGTATTTCCACCTCCCCCCCAACCAAGCTTTCTATACACCAAATGCTTTTCCTTTTCCTGATAGTAAAGGAATGTTCCATAACCAAAAGTTTTCGAACGGCATACCGCCACTCCTGTCTCATTCCTCAGCTGCCCTTTTATTTTGCCACGCTCATAAACCACAACAGGAATGGCTGTAAGGAAGTTCCTTTCATGTCCCTGCAAAACTAGTATTAAGGTAACAACAAAAAGAAGGATTTCTTTTGGAAAAAAAAAAAAAAAAAGAAGAAAAAAGTGGATGGGTTTGCTGCAGAAGTACACCTACAGCCACAGAGATAATCTCTATTAGGACTGCATTACCTCTGCTGAAAGTACAATCCAGTGATGACAGGAGTACTAGACCATGCTCTGCCTCTTAGCAAGCTCTGTTATTTTACATGTTGAAAACAAAACAAACAAGAATTATGTACACATATATTTTGGGAAAAGTTTATCTTCAGGGAGCTGGAACTCTCTGCACCTCTTTCTTCAAATCACACACACTTAAGAATTGTTCGTAAACTCCAAGAACATGGATGTACTTGAAAAGCACCAGCTGCAAGACAGCCACAAAAACAATGACAAGCATGAGATCAACTCTCCTTTAGGAACAAGAGTACACACTCACTGCTTATTTACAGTAGACACTGTAAATACCTGATGTAGATAGTAAGATTTGGTTACACTAAAAATTAAAATCCTGAAGGGCTGAAAATGTCAGCACTGGGGTTACCAAACTCAGCGTTCAGTGGACGAGATGCAGCAACTGCACTTAGAGATTCACCAAGAAAGACTCCTTGTACAGGAACAGTGTGTTGGAGCAACACATTCTGGGTTTGCCAGGTGACAGGATAAGCACAATACAGCATTCAGCCTCCCCGTCTCTACTCTGTGGGGCAATGATGGCCCCACTGGCCCTTGCAAGGTAAAGCCTACCAAGTTCACAACTGACTTTCTCTGCACTTTCTGACTTCCTCTTCTGCCAGAAGAGCCACCACGTGATAAGGTGAAGATGTAAGTAGCATGAGGGGAAGTTTCAGGGCAGTACTGCGCAGACTTTCCCAAAGCTGTGGCTGCAGCAAGACAAGCACTGCTTTTTGAGATGCCACTTTCCAAACACTGCCCTCGTTCCCTCTGCATTTCACTCTAGTAAGAGAAAGAGAGTTGGAGTTTTTGCTCTCAAAACATCATTGCTCTCACCAAATTTCACTGAAAGAAATAAAGGGAGAGCCGCTTTTCCTTCTCAAAGACTTCCTCTTTTACTAGGGTTGCACCCAGTATTCACAGCCTTTCTTTGCCTTCTAGTGAAAAAAATATCATCAGACATTGCTATTAGTGACAATTTTTGAGAAAGAAAAGACATGTCATTTCCATGCCAATGGCACATGTCCCTACATCATGGAGTTTCTCCAAACAATCTTTCAGGTCTCTTGATTGAATCTTCTATAAACCAGCTGAAGAAATGGTAACTATAAAACTGATTTACTTATCCTTGCCTAACTACAAAGGCAAAGAATTCAAACGATATACAAGCAGTGAAGAAAACCAAAGAGCAAGAGAAAAATAAAAGCCACTTGCAAGAGGTGCCAGACGAAGACAGATAAAGAACAGTTGAAAACGATCATGTGTTTACCATCACTTTCTTCTTATCCCAAGTTTATTTGTAACTAGACACCGTTCACACCGAGGCAATAAATACAAGAACATATGTGATTTTTTTTTAAATGTGCCCTTTGACTGTCAATATCTCCCAAACAGGTGTTGGCTAAATGATTATAAATTGGCCTCTGGATACACCTCTTCAACTGAGCCGTACCAGGAGTGGCGATAATATAATTAGACCTAAAAACATCAGGCTGGTGAATGCTTTCCATCTGTTTGGCAATAATGTTTAGTTAACAATAGTCTTTAAAAGAAGCACCTTCAACTTCAGTTCTTAAAGTTATTTATAGGGCCATTCTTAACACACCAGCACTCTTGCTAACAAGAGCTTTAGCCACTTGGAAATTATTAGCCATACAGCTGTGTAGGAAAAGGAATGGCAGCATTTAACATCTGTATCTCTCCAGATTTACAAGCATCAACCTCATTTAAAGTCATATCTTAATGAACAGTTCTGTGGTCTGTATTAATATTTTAGTTGCATGCACAAAGATCATAAGGAGCCAAACATTTTTTTAATATCAACAGTAGGCCTATCAGTAATGAAGCTGTCAGCATAAAGGACAGAATAATAGCTTCTTTAACCCTCAGACAGGATTCATTCATTTGTAGAGTAGGAGACACCAATTTAAAAACTGCTCATGGGTTTGCTCACCTTTATAAAGGCAAAAATCTAATTTGGTACTAATTTGATACAATTGTCTTTCCAATAAAAGTCTCCTAAAGCCATCCTTTATTTTATGATAAAACAACTGCTATAACTAAAACTGTCATGAAATAATTACCTTTGATAGCATACCTTATTGCACAAATACAATTAATGTATTCCTCCCTTTCATTTTTCACACTTGCTTATCAGCACTGTATTAGCATATGGTGAAACAGAACAGATCACTGAGCCCTCGCCCTATAAGATGACATATAGAATGACTACGACTAACGGGAATAAAGCAGACAACGGGTCCCTTTAGGGCTGCCTTCATCTGCTGCTGTATTACAACATCAAATTGAAAGTAGCAGCTACGGTTTTATAACTGTAATAACAAATAATGTTTGTGCACTTTTGAGGTTAACTGCCTAGGTGGACTAACCAGTCTTACTAACCAGCTTCCCCATCAAGCATCGTAACTTGCCCCCAGTGATGATGAGCTACAGCTCCACTTTATTTAATGGAAAATTATTTGTTTGCTGATTCAATGCTTACTTTTCCACAAGATCATTAGCTTCACAGGAGATCAATCCCAAGCAGCCCAGCAAGAACCATGCAAGGAACTTTTTTGCCAACTGATACTGCATTTGACCCTGGCTGACCAGAGAATTTACAGGGGCCCATAAAGACCAAAAATCTATTTCTAAGAGAGGCAGCTGCATGCATATTACGAAAAGGTGGTTTAACCAGACTCATCCAAATAATTTAACGAATACAAGAATAATTTTAATCACTCACCAGGAAACTGCTATTTTAGGAAGGGGAAAGACCAGAAAAGAGACTGTCGCAAGCACATTTGCTTGACTTTGTATCAGATGAACAGAGCAGAGAAAGGGGAGCAGCTCTTAGATGCATTATCGAGGCTGCTGACCAGCAGTAACATCATCATTGACCCAAGTGCCAACTTAACTTCTTCACTTTGCTTTTCATAGCCAGGTTCTGGACAGCCATGTACCCCAACAAGTCCTTACTATCTGCATACCATCACATTTTCCTCCCATTGCAAAAGGAAAATGTTTGCAAGTTCATCAGCAATTCTTTTTCTAAGAGTCCTTTTTCAAATATGAAACGACAAACCTCCACCAGAATGACACAGCAGGACAAAACAGGATTCCACAAAACATTCCCCATTGCATAACTCTGTCCTTCCCCGAGCAGACCACACTGAGATGCCTGTACTAGAAACTGCTCCTGGCTTGCAGTAAGCTGATGGAACCTTTTTGCTGATGACAACTACTGTGTAAGGTGTAACATTTAATACCTCATAACAACGAGCTGTCAGCTGTAACATGCAGCATCCTATCTCAGGGGGGAGGGAGAAAAATGCACAGCAGGGCATTCCTGGGCACTGAGCAACTAGACTGTGACACAAAAGGAGACCAGGCAAAATCCTATTTGTAATACTAATGTACTAACACAGTCAAGGTCTACACATCACGCTGGCTTTCACAGCACTGTTGCTTACCCATTTTTCCCTTATTTTTGTGTGTTGATGACAAACTCAAAATGGTAAAAATAAAAATTAAAAAACTGACAGCAAAATAGCAATTGCCATAAATGTATATTGTAAATAAGTGTCTACACCACTCATCCCTATTTTGTGTAAGCACTTAAGTTCTCAGGCACATACTAAAACACATGCGAACACAGCAACCTTGCATGGCAGCAATGTTTTGACTTTTCTACTTGTGATTTTAAGATTTTTGTTTGTTAGGGTTTTTGTTGTTTAGTTTGCTCTCCTGAGGATGGAGGCTAAGTCAAGGCTTAATACCGCAATGCTTAATACTGATGCTGACAACAGCTACTTAAAAAATTTAGCTTCTTAGATTTAATTTACAGTGTATCCAACAGCTTAGTAGAAAATAAATTAAAATAAATTCAGTGCAGAAGGTACAATTAATTGGAGGAAAACATAATAAAACCTGCTTGGTAAATAACGATAGTCTGGCTTTAAGAAAACAGTTAATTTTAGGATTTTTAAATGCACGGAAATTAGCAAATGTTTCAGTATGCTAATTTTTTTTAATTAAAAGATATTTCTGCAGTAAAAGCTCTTTCATATGCATTACTGATTCTTCATCAAACGTTAAGTTTCCAACTTAACACCAGTATAGCCGGTGGCAGCCTGAAGGTTTACCATCTGCTGCCACCCAAAGTCACGGTGGCCACCTT